CTCCCTCTCCCGACCATTCGGACATTCGGTGTCCGAATGTCAGTTCGAGCGACAAAAAAAAAAACCCACAAAGTCATACTTGTCTCAAGTTAATGAAGGCCAGTTGCAGGGTATCGTCACGAAATCCAGGCACAGGTCCCGATCTGGCAAAGCCTGTGGGAAAGAGGAGGATAAATGGCTCTTTAGATAAGCAGCGACTGGGAGATTGGCAGACGGATGACAGCGCAGACACTGAAACCAAGGGAGAGGAGAATCATTCTTCTAATGTCTTGTGTCGTCCTCGCTGACACCTCTTTTGTGTGGCTGTCAAAAATCCTGTCATCAAACCCCCATTAATTCCCGGCCCTGACAGCCAAGAACTGTAACAGTCGCCACCAAGATGTATTCCCATGGGCTTCCCACTCTCGCCCTTTTTATCTGACGCTCGACAGGGGAACAGCCTGCTCCTTTTACCGACACAATATGATAAAAAAAAACAAGTTACAGCTGGTCGCTCCCCTTTCATGTGGTTCGCAGTCAGATTTTCAATCCACCCCCCCCCACTCCACGCGCCCGCCCGCACCCATCCCCATCCCACCGCGCTGCGCAGTGTGGGCTTGTCGCTGTGAGTGACCTCTCGAGTCTCCCGTTCTGGTTTATAACCGTTTCCCCCCCACTCCCCCGCCCACGATCAATTCACAAAATGTCTCTGTTTCTTATGCGTAAAATAAGTAGCGGGAACGTGGAAGTGCATGAGTTGGTGTGTATATGTGTGTGTGTGTGGGGGGGGGTGGGCGATGGGAGGAATGTTGTCACGGACGCCAACACAGAGGGTGGTCCGCACGCAGAGACATCTTGAACACAGAGACGCAATGTTTCTCACACACTAATGTCCTGAGATGTTAAACCAAGGTCCCGTCTGCCTGTTCAGGTGGATGTTAAAGATCCCATGGCACTATTGGAAAAAGAGAAGGGAGTTTCTCTCTGTCTGGTGTCGAGGCCAACAATCCCCCCCAAAAATTGGTCACTTCATGGCTGTTTGTGGGACGTTGCTGTGTACAAATTAGTTGCTGCGTTCACCCACAAACACACACTTTACAATGAAGTCCTGTGAAGCGCTTTGAGACATCCTCTCGATGTGAAAGGCACTGTATTAAATGTAAAATTATTATTATTTTGAATCCAGGAAGTGAGTTACCAGCTGCAATCTAACCTTGGAGTTAATGGGGTTTATACACTGAATAATTTTTTGGATCAGCTGGATGTCTGACACAAGTAGAAATCCATCACTTTGTTTAAGAGTCTCCAAACAAGACAAAGAGTTGAACGTATGTCACCTACAGCTGAGAATTAGTATTTTGAAACACATCCTGACGTGAAAGTTCATTCTGTTGTGCCCAGAGCTGAGACTGACGTCCGAGAGGACATCCATCAGGTCAGCACAGAAACTCATCACTATGATCAGCCGGGTGTCTGACACACACAGAAACCTGTCATTGAGATCAGTCGGGTGTCTGACACACACAGAATCTGTCACCGTGATCAGCCGGGTGTCTGATATACACAGAAACCCATCACTGTGATCAGCCGGGTGTCGAACACATGCGGAAACCCATCACTGTGCTTAAGATTGTCCAAACCAGAGTTTCATCTGTGTTTGTCGCTTACACATGGAACTAAAACCAAGTAACTTGCCATTGAGACCACTGTCTGGCAAGCTTTCCCGCTGCTTGTCCAGCTCGCAGCCCGTTCAAGCTTTCGTTTGTAGGGTTAACAGGAGCTGAGTAGGAGGTTTCCCTGCCCCCAGTGACTGATCTGCCCTTCCAAGTCCTGCCGATATGAGTCAGATTCACTCTTATTCTCTCAGCACTCCGCAGTGTTTGTGCCAAACGAACAGAATTCATTCTTAACTCTGAGGCCAGTTTCCTGTCGTTTCTTAAAAAGGAATGCTTCAAAATTCAGGTCATGTTCAAGAATTTCCCAAATAAACAAAAAAATAATATTAATAATTTGGTCACTCAATCCATGACTGTTTGTGGGACACTGCTGTGTGCAATTGCCTGCCCTGTTTCACCCACAAAATACACAGTCACTATACAGTATATTCTGTGAAGCGCTTTGACATGATAAGTCGCTATGTCAATGGAACGATTATTATTATGTTATAAACTCTGGACATTCTGAAAATGCTGAGGAAACCGAGGAAATCTACATACAGATGTAATTTACACACAGCAATATCCCGCAAACAGTCGGGAAGTGAATATTAACCATTCAAACCAAACCCTAAACTTTCCTTACTCCACAGGCCTCTGTTTACCCAGCAGTAAGTAGGAACCCAGTTGTTAACCAATTGGTGGATCGCTTTCCGGGGGTAATAATACCTCCAAAAATGTTTTATATATTCGGTCACTCAATTCACGACTGTTTGCTGTGCAGAATTGGCTGCCATGTTTTTCCCATAAAATACGGTTACTTCAGTTTACAATATATCCTGTGAATCGCTTTGAAAAGTCTCAATGACATGATAATGCACTATATCAAATACAAGGATTATTATTAATTATTATATTATAATCACTATTAGAATTATTAATCATGATTAAAATAAATATTATTAAAATCACTATAAATATTACAATCATAAATAATATGGTAATAATAATATTTAATAACCCATGTTATTGAATATATAATAATGTTTAATAATAATCCTTACATTTGATATAGCACCTTATCCTGTCTTCGAAGAGTCTCAAAGCGCTTCACAGAATATAATAATTATTATCATTATTATGGGTTATTAATTATTTTATATTAATCATTATCACCGTTAATAATTATAACAATTATAATTTTTTATTATTATAAGTCTTATTGTTATTACTATTACTTTTATTATTATTATTATCAATTTTACTGCTTTTATTATTGTAATTATTATTATTATTATCGTGATTACGGCGTACCTTCCTGTACCCACTGAAGGGAAGGTTGAGGGGTAAGGAGAAGAGATTAGCAACGAGTTGCTCGAAGTTGCTGGAGAGGAGGCTGAGGTCCTCCTCAGAGACCTGGAAACCTAGGAGCACACGCACGGCAATCCGGAACGTCAGCTTCTTAGCTTCCTGATAAACCACGATGGGCTCCTCACTGCTGCTCCAATCTCGGATTCCATCCCGGATTACCTGCTGGATCTTCGGAAGGTAACTCTGCAATGCGTCGTGACTGAACAGTTTAGCAAAGACCTGGGGAGAGAGGAAATGGAAGGATTATTAATATTATTATCACATCTTCGAGACATCGCAAAGCACTTCACTGAATACACTGTAAAGTGAATTGACTGTATATTTTGTGGACGATATTACATTTGTCTTATTATAGATTAGGAAAATAATATATAATCTAATAATAATAATAATCCTTGCATTTATGATTGTTGAGAGTTGTCAAAGCGCTTCACAGAATATATTGTAAACTGTAGTGACTGTGTATTTTGTGGGTGAAACACAGCAGCCAGTTTGCACACAGCAGTGTGCCACAGTCGTGAAATGAGGGACCAATTTTATCTGGGGAATTGTCGGCCAGAACACCGGGAGAGAGAGACTCTGTTCTCTTTTCCAATAGCACCACGGGATCGTTAACATCCACCTGAGCAGTCGGATGGGACCTTGGCTTAACGTCTCATCTGGAATTCTGGGATAAATAGGATAAATAGTCAAGCAGCGGGGGAGTTTGGAAATGTCATGTTAATTATTGTATAGTTCTGCGATTGATTAATCACCTAGAACATAGAGACTGCTCAAAGCGCTTCACAGGATTTGCTGTAAAGGGTAGTGACTGTTTTGTGGATGAATGCAGAAGCCAACTTGCGCACAGCAACATCCCGCTGTTGCAGCAGTGAAGTGAATGACTAATTTTATTATTGGCCGGGACACCAGGAGAGAGAAACTCCCTTCTCTTTTCCAACAGCTCCGCGGGGTCTTTACCGCCTGCTGCACGAACAGGGAGTGAGGTTTAATGTCTCATTCGAAAGACGGCACCTCTGACATTGAGGCGCTCTCTCTACCCCCATCACGGCACTAGAGCGTCAGCCTGGACTGTGAGCTCAGAGTCCCCGACTTCGGCTTGAACCCACGACCCTCTGATTGAGAATGCGAGAGCCTGAGCCGGTTAGATTCCAGCAGTTACCCCAACACACACTCTGGGGTCCCCAAGCCTTGGCTCTTGCCAACCTGTGCCTAATACTCTCCGGAATTAGGTAAACAGGATGTGTCCCTCCAAGAATAGAGTGCACATTTCATTCCAACAATCTCTCTCTGGGATTTCCATGTGTAGCTGGGATGCATGGAATTCTCAGCTTGGTTTGGAGACTCAAACATGGTGATGGGTTTCGTATGTTTGAGACACCCGGCTGATTCCTCCCAAAAATCTGGATGTCTCAGCCACAGTCGCTACACTCACTCACTACACTCTGGATGAGGTGTTAAACCGGGCTCCCTTCTGTGCCTGTTCAGATGAATGCTAAGGATCCATCGACGCTGTTGGGAAAGAAAAGAGAGTTCCGATGTTCTGGCCGACAATCTGCCAAATCAACTCACTCGCTTACCTCGTGGCTGTTTGACAACAACTTGATAGGATGAGCAGATCGACTGCCATGTTCGCCTACGAATGCACGATCACTACACTTTACAGTGAATCCCGTGAAGCGCTTTGACCATGTGATGAGGCGCAATATCAGAAGCAAAGTGATTTAAAGGGGAGGTTAGACACCAGTGGCAGACTCTCAGTGAGAAAGCTACTGGGTCAGATCGGAGGACATTGCGATTGCAGTGTTGCGGTAGTGACTGTGACTCTGTAGCTGCGATGTTGCTATTGTGATGGCTATTCAGGCATTGCGTTGGTGGCATTGAGGTGTTGCCACTGTAATGTTGCAGTATTACGATGTTGTAATATTGCAAAGTTGCAGTATTGAAGCATGAAATGCGCGGCTGCTAATCGCTGTTGCCGGTTCTCACCCCCAGGGAATGCGAGCAAGAGACAACCTGTACACATACCTGCAGAAAGCCATCAGCGAGAAGCTGCAGGGCGGGCAGGACAAGGAGTATTCAGACGCCCTGGACATCCTGATCGAGAGCGCCCGCGAGCATGGCAAGGAGCTCAGCATGCAGGAACTCAAGGTGAGTGCATAGTAGTTACAACGCTCACCTCGTAAGCCAGAGGACCTGGGTTCGATTCCCCGGGCAGAATAAAAACCTTAGGCAAGTAATAATTCTTTCAAAAAAAAATTATTTTGTCATTCAGTCCATGACTGTTTGTGGGACCCAGCTATGCACAATTGGCTGCCGTGTTTCGCCTGCATAATATGCAGTTAATTCACTTTACAGTATATTCTGTGAAGCGATTTGAGACCTCTCAACGATGTGGTAAGGCGCTATATCAAATGCAAGGATTATTATTATTATTAGCGTGAGCCCTCAGGCCCCTGGCTGTTATATTCAATTACCATTTAGTGTTGGAGGAGAGGATGGCAGAGGCATGGGAGGGGGGACGGAGGAGTTGGTTTATGGTAGAAAAGAGGAGTCTGGGCTTGTCCTTAGCTTTCAAAATTATTTTGGAATAAAAGGATGACTTAGCTGAGGCAAGGGCAGAGCAGTTGGTGCTGTCCTGCCAGATCTGACAATGAACCGTTAATTTGGATTTGCATGAGGTGCATTTGGAGGATCGCACCTGAGATTTGAGGGAGCGGAGGTGGCTGGTGTACCAGGGGGATTTGTGTGAATAGGAGGCGGTGCAGGAGATAACGGGGACAAGTGTGTCGAGGATGGCCAAGAGGGAGTTGTTTAGAAGAGTGACCAAGGAACGTTGGCCATTGCAGGAGGAGGGCCAGAGGGGTAGGAGTTCAGATGCTTCCAGGACAGTGGAGAGGGCATGGAGGGGGATTTTTCTCCAGGGGCAGATAGGAGATGCCAGTGGGGTGGGTGCCAGGAGGGGGATGGAGGAGTTAAGGGAGATGGAATAGTGATCTGAGATGTCTCTGTCAGTGATGGTAACATCAGAGATGGTAAGGCCCCAGGTGATCACCAGGTCTCACGGGTGGCCATGGATGTGAGTGGAGGAGTTGATATGAGGGAGAGGTCGTGAGGAGAAGTCAGCAGATGTGGAGCAAGAAGGGTTAAAGTGGAGGTTAAAGTCACCCAAGATGACGAGGCAATCAGAACAGATGCAGAGGGAGATGTCAGAGGAATGTGGAGGAGGGTTTGGGGAGTACTGTAGATGAGGAGTGACTACCTCTGTCACCATCTCAAACTCTACCAACCTGTCCACTCCCTCTACTATGGCCTGCTCCATGTCCCCCGCCCTGCCCATTCCAGGTGGTTAGGCCTTCAGCCTTTCTGTTCCCACCCCCTGGAATGCCATTCTGGAGCCCCACCGCCTTGTCAGCTTCAAGGCCCATCTCAAGATCCTCCTCTTTGACTGTGCCTGCGGTCACCCTGCTATCCTCATCCCCCTTTCCCTCCACCCATCTTCTGATCTCAACCCGCAGCTCGGGGGCAAACCCCTCATTGTCCAACGCCTTGGGACATCCTCCTGACGTGGAAGGCGCTTTTTAAATGCAATTTGTTGTTGTTGTTACTCTCTCTCTGTGAATCTCTCAGTGACTAACTCTCTCTCCCTCAGTGATTCACGCTCTTTCTCTCTCTGTGACTCTCTGTGACTGACACAGTCTCTCTCTCTCTGTGATTCTGAGTGACTGACACACTCTCTCTCTGTGACTCTGAGTGACTGACACACACTCTCTCTGTGTGTGACTGTGAGTGACTGACATACTCTCTCTCTGTGACTCTGAGCGACTGACACTGTCTATCTCTATGTGACTGAGACACTCTCTCTCTGTGACTCTGAGTGACTGACACTGTCTTTCGCTGTGTGACTCTCTGTGCCTGACACTCTCTCTGTGTGACTCTCTGTGACTGACACACTCTCTGTGTGACTGACACTGTCTCCCTCTCTCTGAGACTCTCCCCCTCTCTCTTTGTGATTCTCTCTCTCAGTGACTGACACTCTCTCTCTCTCTGTGACTCTCTCTCTGAGACTCTCTCTCTGTGACTCTCTCTCTCTCTCTCTCTCTGTGTGACTCTCGTCTGTGACTTTGTCTCTAGGGCTCTCTCCGTGTGACTCTCTCTCTGTGACTCTCTCTGTGTGACTCTCTCTCTGTGACTCTCTCTCTGTGACTCTTTCTGTGACTCTCTCTCTCTGTGACTCTCTCTCTGTGACTCTCTCTGTGACTCTCTCTCTATGATTCTCTCTCTGTGACTCTGATTCTCTATCTGTGAAACTCTCCCTCGGTGACTGATGACACACTCTCTCACTCTCCGCGAGTCTCCTTGACTCTGTTACTGACTCTCTATGACACTTTCTCTCTCTCTCTCTCTCTCTCTCTGTGACACTCTCTCTCAATGACTGACACACACTCTTTCTCTGTGACAGGAGTCGACAGTGGAGCTGATTTTCGCTGCCTTCGCCACCACGTCCAGTGCGTGTACCTCTCTGGTGTTACAGCTGTTACAGCACCCTGGGGTGTTAGAGAAGCTGCGTGAGGAGCTGGGCCATCAGGGGCTGGTTCAGGAGGGCTGTCGCTGCCAGGAGACCCTCCGCATGGACACCATTGCCCGCCTCAAGTACCTGGACTGTGTCATTAAAGAGGTGCTTCGCCTGCTGCCCCCTGTGTCCGGGGGTTATAGGTCAGCACTGCAGACCTTCGAACTCGATGTGAGTCCCTTCCCCTCCCCACCCCACCCTTGTGTGACCTCCGCGACATTGCATCCGACCGGCTCGGGAAAGGATTAAAGATCAGGAGGGAGGGGTGGGGGGCGATGCGCACTTTGATGGAGCGAAAAGTCAGCCTGGCTCTGTCATTCAGACAACAACAACTCACACTTATATAGCGCCCTGCACGCAGGGTAACGTCTCAAACCGCTTAAAAAAGTCGCCACAAACTGTCTGCCACGCTCGCCCACAAAATACACAGTGACTACACTTAGCATCACAGGAATCTATGGCAGAAGAAGGCCATTCTGCCCATTGAGTCTGCACTGGCTCTCAGAGCAACCTGTCCATCCAATCCCATGCCCCGTCCCGTCCCCACACCCCTTCCATCTCTCTCTCATATTCCAATTCCCTCTTCAAATTCACAATGTAACAGTGGCATATTGTAGCGTAGTGGTTGGAACACTTGCCCTGCAAGCGAGAGGATCCGTGTTCAATTTCCGGGCGAGGCAAAACCTTAGGCAAGTTTCCTTACTCCATGCACATGCCTCTGTTTACCTAGTAGGAAAAAAATCAACAAAATTACATTTGTATAGCACTTTTCACATCGGGAGGACATCCTATGGCGCTGGACTGTCAGAACTTCGGACCCGAGCTCGGGGTTGGGATCGGGGAGGGTGGAGGGTAGTGGGGGGGGAGCAGGGTGATCGAAAGCACGGTCGAAGAGGAGGGTCTTGAGATGGGTCTTGAAGGTGGCAAGGGAGGGACTGTGGGATGGAGTTCCAGAGGGTGGGTGCAGAGTGGCGGAAGGCCGCACGCCAATGCTGGGGCGGGTGAGGTGAAGCAGGCCGGAGCCCGCTGAGCGGAGGGAGCGAGCAGGATGGTAGGGGGTTAGGAGGTCGCAGAGGTAGGGGGAGCAAGACCATGGAGGGCTTTGAAGGTGAGGACCAGGATCTTGAACTGTATCCTCTGTGTGATGGAAAGCCAGTGGAGTTGAGCGAGGATGAGGGTTAAGGAGCCTGGTGCGGGAGGGGAAATGAGCTGCAGAGTTCTGGATGATCTGCAGCCTATGGAGGGAGGGGATGGGGAGGCCGACAAGCAGGAAGTTTGCATAGTCGAGCCTTAATGTAATGAAAGCGAGTATGAGGGTTTCAGCGGCCTCCGATGTGAGACAGTGGCGGAGCCGGGCGATGTTGCGAAGGTGGGCGAAGGCAGAGCGGGTCATGGCATAGATGTGGAAGTAAGAACAATTGACGGATCATTTTCTGGGGTTAATAATACCTGCAAAAAAATAATAATTTGGTCACTCAATCCACGACTGTTTGTGGGACACTGCTGTGTGCAATTGGCTGCCGTGTTTCGGCAACAAACTACCCAGCCAATCCACTTTACAATATATCCTGTGAAACGCTTTGAGACGTCTCAGCAACGTGATAAGGCGCAATATCAAATGCAAGTATTAGTGTTATTATTAGAGGAATGGCTGGGCTAATCGCAATCCCGACATTCCCTCCCGCAGGGCTGCCAGATTCCCAAGGGATGGAGCGTATTGTACAGTATCCGAGACACCCACGACACGGCGCAGGTGTTCCAGAACGTGGCCGCCTTCGATCCTGATCGTTTCGGCGAGGAGAGGGACGAGAACAAGGGCGGACGTTTCAATTACATCCCGTTCGGGGGTGGGGTGCGTGGCTGCCTGGGCAAGGAGCTGGCCAAGCTGGTGCTGAAGGTCCTGGGGGTGGAGTTGGCTATCTCCAGCCGCTTCCAGCTAGCCACACGCTCCCCCCCACGCATGCAGACCGTCCCCGTCGTCCATCCCGTGGATGGACTCAGGGTCCGCTTCTGTGGCCTGGACTCAAACCACAACCAGATCCGGCCCTCTGGTTCTGATCCTCTGCTGGGCTCCACCGTGTGAAGGGGGGGTGGGGGGGCGGGGGAAGGGGGAGAGATGGGGAGAGAGAAGGAGTGAGCGATAGAGAGAGAGAGAAAGCGGGGTAGAAGGGAGGAGGACAGAAAGGCGGAGGGAGGGGAGAGAGAGAGGGAGAGTGGCAACACTTAATACCGAGACAGAAACATTATTTTAAAGCAAAAAAATCAACTGTCTCTGGTCGTTCACTCCCTCAGAACAAAAACACAACAGGAACTACAGTGAATATGGGCTCAGTCTCTCTCTCTCTGTCTCTCTCTCTCTCTCTGCTTGTCTTTCTCTGTCTGTCTTTCTGTGTTTGTCTCTGTCTAAACCCTCTCTCTGTCCCCCACCTCTTTCTGTCTGTCTATCTGTCTCTCTGTTTGTCCGTCTCTCTCGCTTTCTCTGTCTCTCTCTCTCTCTCTCTCTGTCTGTCTCTATCTCTCTCTGGGGGACAGACTGACAGAGAGACAATTATCAGGTGATAATAAAGGTTGTGTTGAAAATCCTTTCTTTCCCGGTCCCTAGGAACAAACTGTCTGCTGTGTTCCGCTCCACAATATAGGCGGGGGTGAGAGAGGTGGGGGAGAGGAGGAGAGGAAGGGGAGACAGAGAGAGGGAGACAGAGAGGGGATAGAGAGAGGGAGTGAAATAGTATCCAGTTTAAGAAAGTCCGTCCGGAATAGTGAGAGAGAGAGATGGAGGTGGGGAGTGAGAGCGGTACAGAGAGAAGGAAAGGAAGGAGAGAAAGGGTATAGAGAGAGGGAGATGAAGAGAGTGAGGGAGAGAGAGAAAAGGAGAGAGAGGGGGAGATGGAGGCTGTAGGGGAGATAGAGAGAAATGAGAAGACAGGAAAGGAGATGGAGGGATTGAGTGAGCGAGAGAGAAAAGGAAAGAGAGGGAGATGGGGGAAAGAGGGAGATGGGGAGTGAGGGAGAGAGAGGGATATGGAGTAGAGCGAGAAGGAGAGAGGGAGATGGAAGGAGAGAGGGAGGGAGATGGAGGGAGAGAGAGGAGAGAGAGGATGATGGAGGGACAGAGGGAGGGGGGAAGGGAGGGAGTGAGGCAGAGAGAACCCAGAAAGAAAGTTGTGTGACGTCTGGTACTCTACACAACGAGTGAGGCTGTATTGGGGTCAGTGTGTGTGAACAGATCTCTCATTGATACACAGTCTGCAATGGATTTGCTGACTGAGCACTTTTAATGTTGAGGAGACGCCATTTGCCGCCTGTGTCGAGTGGGTTTGGACAGCGTGGCGTCTAATGGGGGGTGGAGGGGTGGGGGTGGGGGCACTGGCTTTAAGCTCTGATGTGGATTATTTGTGATTTTCCGCTGTGTAGTATGTGGTCATGCGGCTCCTCCGTGTGTTGGTAAATATTCATTGTTCTCAGTGTAAAAGTATTCTTTTTATTTTACAACCTGATGTTTCACGTGTGGTTTGTTCAACACTCTGTGTGTGTGTGAGACGGTGAGACAGAGACAGACAGTGAGACTGAACAAACTGAAGCCATGCATTTCACAGAGTTGCAGTGTACACAACCCGATTCCAACCTCACTCCCCAGGATCTGTTATTCTATATATAACTACTCCGAATCCGTGAATTAGATTCCAGCCTGTACCTCACTCCCGAGGTGAGTGATTCTTTTCCCAGACACTCTTCAGGAAGTGGAAGTAGCTGATGCACTCTGCGCTCAACTGGTTCTCATGTGCCAATGCTCGGCAACAGAATGACAGAATTGAACCCACCCTCTGTGACGGTCTCTAGTCGGGATCCTGAGCCAGGTGGGTCCCCAGTATTCAAGGGCACTGCTGATGACAGCACAGCCCAGCCTGGCTCATCACCAGGACTTGGAAGGACAGACCAGTCACTGGGGGCAGGGAATCCTCCCACTCAGCTCCTGTTAACCCTGCAAACCAAAGCCCTAACAGGTAGGGTGGTCCCAGCTGGATAAACAGCGGGAAAGCTTGCCAGTGCTCAGTGCTCTCAATGGCAAGCTTTGGGGTTTTAACTGGTTAGACTCCAGCATTTACTCCAATGGACACTCTGGGGTCCCCAAGCCTCGGCTCTTGCCAACCTGAGCCTAATACTCTCTGGAATTAGGTAAACAGGGTATGTTCCTCCAGGGAGAGAGGCACATTCCATTCCAACAACCTGTCTCTGGGATTTCCATGTGTAGGTGGGATACATGGAAATCTCAGCTTGGTTTGGAGACTCTTAAGCATGGTGATGGGTTTCCGTATGATGTACACCCAGCTGATCAAAAAAAACTTCAGTATAATTTGGGAAACACCACCAGCAAACACCCAAACTCTCGTGTACAACTTTGGCAGGTAAACTTTAGTGGTGTGAGGGCAGAGCTGAGAGACATAGACTGGGAGGCATTACTCAAGGACAGATCAATTGAAGAAAAATGGACATCCTTAAAGAACATTCTGCAGTGAATAAAGGACAATAATAATAATAATCCTTCATTTGATATAGCGCTTTTCACGTCTTCTAGACGTCTCAAAGTGCTTCACAGAATGTACTGTAAAGTGAATTGACTGTATATTTGTGGGCGAAACGCGGCAGCCAATTGTGCTCACCAGCACAGCTTTCTTCCACCTCCGATGCATTGCCCGTCTCCACCAGTACCTCACTCCAAAAGCCACTGAAACCCTGGTCCATGCCTGTGTCACCTCTTGGCTGGACTTTTCAAACGCCCTCCTCGCCGGTTTCCCCTCCACTATCATCCATAAAATCCAGGTCATCCAAAAATCTGCCGCCCGCATTCTTACCCGCACCAAACTCCGCTCCCTGATTACTCCAGTCCTTGCCAGGACTGCCTGTCCCAGAGAGGATCGACTTCAAGATCCTCACCCTTGTCTTCAAATCCCTCCACTCCTCTGCACCCCCCTACCTCTCTGACCTCCTCTCTCCTCACAACAGTGCCCATTGCCTTCGCTCCACCGGGTCTGGCCTCCTCCTTGTCCCCCAAATCCTCCTCTCCACCATCGGGGGCCTGGAATTCCCTTCCTCACTCCCTTCGCCTCGCCTCCTCTCTTCCTATTTTCAGGTCTCGGCTGAAGACATTTCTTTTTGACTGCGCCTTTGGTCACCTTCCTCCCCCTCCCCCTGGCTCGGCTCCAGGATCCGTTATTGTGAAGCGCTCTGAGATGCCGTCTGGTGTGGAGGGCACTATATAAATACAAGTTGTTGTTGTTGTTGTAGCAGTGTCCCACAAACAGTCGTGGATTGAAGTGATCAAATTATTATTGTTTTTTTTCTTGAGGGATAATTATCCTCGGAAAAGCGATCCGCCAATCCACTAATAGCCAGGTTCCTACTTACTGTAGGTAAACAGAGGCGTGTGGAGCAAGGAAATACGCCCAACATTTTGACCTGCCGGGAATAGAACCCAAGTCTCTCACTCGCGAGGTGAGAGCTCTAACCACTGATCTACAGATATAGCGCCTTATCACGTCTTCAAGACGTTTCAAAGCGCTTCACAGAATATACTGTATATTTTGTGGAAAAAACGCGCCAGCCAATTGCGCAAATCACAAACAGTCCTGGATTAAGTACGTACTCAGATGTACTGAGGCAATGTACTGATGTACTGATGGCAGATGGCCCGTGGCAAAATAACCCATAACACACCGAAATGGATCAATAGGAAATAAAAGGGGAGAGAAAGAAAAAGAAGGTTTCAAAGCGTGTAGGGAGAAATGAGAGGGCGACCAGTGGGCTGAATACAAGACTGTACAGTACAGAAAGAGTTTAGAAAGAGATTAGGGTAGATAAGCAAGAACCAGAACAGGAGATCTTAGCAAATGCAAGGCATGTGCTACCTAGCAGCAAAAACGTAACCCCCAAATTCTTTCAGTAAGAGGATATTCAGGAAACAACAACTTGAATTTGGATTCCTGTAGCATAGTGATTAGTGTGCTCATCTTGCAAGCGAGAGGACCTGGGTTCTATTCCCGCAGGGCGAAATGCTGGGCATGTTTCCTTACTCCACCCGCCTCTGTTTACCTAACTGTAAGTAGGAACCTGGTAGTTAATTGACTGGCGGATTGCTTTTCCGGGGTAAAAATCCCTTCAAAAATAAAAAAAAATTTGGTGACTCAATCCACAACTGTTTGTGGGGCACTGCTGTGCGCAATTCGTTGCCACCTTTCGCCCACAAAAATATACAGTCAATTCAGATGTTTCAAAGACGTGATAAGGTGCCATATCAAATGGAAGGATTATTATTATATCAAATGCAAGGATTATTATTATTAAATTATTATCAAACACGATCTGCCCTTCACAAACCCTGCTTAACTCATGACTATCTCAGTCATTACTAACTTGGTCCCTTATTATTGCCTCCAAGCATTTACCCACAACTGATGTCAGAGTAGTTACCGGCCTGGAGTTCCTTGTTTTATTCTTCACCCCTTCTTAAGCCACCCTCCAATCCTCCTGCACCCAACCAGTCTCCGAGGACATCTCGAAAACAATAGGAAATCCATCAGGAAGGAAATGGGAGATTACCAATATAAAAATCATCTAATACTTGACAACCAACACAGGTTCAGCAAGGATAGGTTTTGTCTTCTCTCATGTCTTCTCCCGCACTCAGCTTTGTGATCAAATCACCCCCACCCTCGCCCGGCTCCACTGGCTCCCCATCCCCCAGAGGATAGAGTTCAAGATTCTCATCCTCACCTTTAAAGCGCTCCACGGTCTTGCTCTGCGACCTATTAAATCTTTACTAACCTGTCCGTCCCCTCCACTGGGCAGGTTCTGGATACACAATGAAACTCGCATAAGTCTATCAACAACAACAACAACAAAATTACATTTATATCAATCATACAACAACAACAAAATTACATTTGTATAGTGCCTATCACGTAGAATCATAGAATCATAGAATATTACAACACAGAAGGAGGCCATTCGGCCCATCATGCCTGTGCTGGCTCTTTGGAAGAGCTACCCAATCAGTCCCACTCCCCAGCTTTTTCCCTATCTCCC